GAGTTTATGAAGGAATGGAGGCAGTTTCGGTTTAATGGGGTACCCCCGTGGATACGCATTCACTCATATAGTATAATGAAATCTGTCTGCCCAAAAAAAGCGTTGTGGATTCCTTTTTGTAACACTCATTTTCCAAATATGCGGAAATAGCTTATTTAACTTTCTTGGAGGTTCAATAAGCATCTAATCAAAGGCTACTTACATCGGATATAAGTAGAATGTTGCTGCATCGTAAATATAGCCATTTTGTCTTGATAGCTTTTCCAAAGACTCGAAGAGCTAAAAAAATTAAAGGAGCGAACTGAAGAGATACAGACGCGCTTAGATGACTACGAAGCGTGGCTGAGCGAGACCTTAGTCGTGGTTCAACAGAGAATGGGAGAAGGCGAAACAGCAGACTCGAACCGAGGTGACTTCCTTGAATGGTGTACCCACACTGCTGTTATGGATGGGGTATTGTCAAGCCTTAAAAGAGACATAGCCAAGACCTCGGAGAATGGCTCGACGGAAGCAAGAGCGCCTGACAGTCTTGCTGAAAGGATAAATTCCATCCAGGTTAGGATGTCTTTTATTTGGTTATATACTACTCACAAGTAGTATATGAGGCGAATGATACCTGCTGTAATGCAACTTTTTGCATTTCTGTCAGGTGGAGTCGTCTAATCTGAAACGTCACCTCCTCCTTTTCACCTATCCTACCGATATCCGACATTCCATTCAACGATGTCGTGAGGCCACAAGGGAACACGACGTTGCAGCCATCAATCTGGAAATTGTCTCTTTAACCAGTGAACACGTAGAAGGATTAACCAAGAAGTGTGAAGACTTGGTAAAACGTATTCAAGAAGGCCAAAATTTGATTGAACAGTTGCAAAAAAAGGTTTCAGGTGTCAGTCCACCACCTGAACTACACAACGCTAACGCAGAGTTGTTAGAGGAGTTGAAAGACCTCTATGAGAAGAACACTAAGATACTTGACCATGTAAGCAGATTTGTTCCGTATTTGACCGCTTAATATCACCGTTAAGTGTTAAAATCGGCTTTTCTAGGTCAAACACTTCCAAGAAGGTGTT